TTTAGTACTTAAAAAAATAAAGTTTTAATTTATATTTAAAAAAAAAGATTGAAAAGGATTATTATTAAAATAATTTTAGGTTCTGAATGGTTTTTTCTATGTGTTTTTTTAAAATGTTTTTTTCTCTGTTTATAAAACTAGCAAAATATTTTGAATCATGTTTGAGCTATTTAAAGGCTTATGAAATTGAAAATAATTTWAAAAAAATTCTTAAGTTCACAATAATTTTTTATGAGTAATTTTGACAAAATTCATAAAGTACAGTGTACTATTCGTTTTGTTGTATCATTTTATTCGTTTTGGAAATTCAAATTAAATTGTTATGAGCATTTGAAATTTAAGTTTTTAAACTATTGAGTGTGATCAATCAAATACAAACCAATGACGCAATAATTATTGATAAAAGAAAATGTCTGCAAAGTCTATTATTTACAGTTGTAAGGAGGGGGAGAGTTTCTAAGAAAACGTTTCTTTAGTCCCGTACACGGAAAACTGATTTTCCGGGGCATGCCGACATCAAAAGAACTCTGAGTTTGGTCAAACAAGTACAAACAAATGACGTGCTAAATTTTGGCATTAGAAATTTGGTAAAAGTGATTTGTGGGTAACGTACGTCCGGTAGGTACGAGTGAATTAAAACGAATCACCCAAATCCCCGTTCTGGTGATAATATATACGATTAAATGATTAGAAAATATTATATATTACGTATTTTATAAGTATATAAGTATTATTATTATTATTAATTTTTTTTTAATCATTAAACRATTCACGATGCCAGCGCCTTTTGAACTTTCTTGTAGGGTTTCCAAAATGTTAGCTCAGTTAAATGCAGGAATTAGTGGATTAAGATTGTTCACTAAAGTTGGCGTTGGAAGTGTTTGTAGTAGGATGAGGCCACTTTATCGACAGTCTGTATTCTAAAATCTAAGTGCAGTAGGTATATTATTACTCGTTACATAGAAGGGCGCGTTATATTAGTAATCATATACGTAGTAATATGGACTGGAACATTTGCTTTTTTTAAATGTTAAATATTTTTTCCAAGCACCATAATTGGACACCATAGTTCTTTAAATAATGTAAAATAGTATAAAATTATAAAATCAAATTTTGATATTTGTAATTATATAATATGATATTGTATTTTGTAATAAATAATAAATATGATATATTAAATAAATAGAACGAATAAAATGAAAATTGTATTAATAATAAWAGCCTACTACTATGTAGGGACAAAGCCAGGATTTTACAAAAACGCGTAAATTTAGACGCGTCTAAGTGGATAGCCGATTTACATAATTATTATATCTATTTTTTCTTTTTTGACAAATT